TTTAAAGTAAGTTTAAAGAAGAGAGAGAGAGTGAGAAAGAGAGAAAGGGAATCACAACAATTTTTTTTAAAAAAAAAGAAAAAAAAGGAAGAGAAGAGAAAGTCACCAACTTGAAAAATGATTGGGGATTTTAATGGTGAAGAGAAGGACATGAATGAATATTAATGACGGATAGTTGGACAAACTTGATGGACAAACTGGATAGACATGGAGGTGCTCTACATCTACAAGTGAAAATGCCGCCCGAAAAGTTGGCTAAATTGCCATCACTACTAAAATGACACATAATTTGCGCACATGTATATATCAAATTATATCAAATATGTATTTATACAGGTGTGTATATGTGAGTGTATGTGTGTGTGTGTGTGTCTATGTGTGTGTATGTGTGTTGTCTATGTTTGTGTGTATAGATGGATAACGAATAAGGATGATGATTGGTAATTACTGAACAATTTACTTTCAATGCTTACAGATGTATCATGTTGAATATTATCTTGGCATCTTATTTTCTTTTGTTTTATTTTCTAAATAATGATTTTATCACTGGAGAATGAATCAGATAATTAATAAACAAATTAATGAATGCTATCTTTCAATCAGTAATAAGGAAAAAAAGCTACCATTTGAATGAATTATTTTTTAAAAAAAGAAAATTCATCAAACTTTACCGTATTATCAACGGAACGAAAAATTAGCCAATAATACAAATATTTTTTTGTTTGCTTTTTTGCTTTTCTTTTTCATAACTGTATAAAATGCAAGCAAACTTGAACATTTTCAATATAAATGTTTTTTTCTTGCTTGCTATTTCTTCACTAATTTTTATTTTGTTTACTTTTTGCAGTATTCATTGTGAATTGCAATTTGCATGCAACATTTTTATACAATACAACTTTTGTGTATGGAAGAAAAAAATTTTTGCATTATTTGAATTTCATTCCATCTTCATTCGTTATAAGCCATGATAGATCTTGCAAGCCTCAATTACGGGCGGATTAACTGCATTGCGGTGCCACACCCAGTTTACTGCATTCCCGGTTCTGCATTATTATCCTTATTTTTATGTCATTTGTCGTCTGACTTGTTGCGCGCACTTGCATGCAGCATTTTTGTTTTCACCATGCTATTGCTCTTTTTCGAAACTAGTTATAGGAGGATCTTTATGATACTTTCACTCCTTTTGACCTAATTAGTTTAGGTTGATAAGCTCCAATGATGTCTTTAACACTGTTGAACAGTTAACATTTCCAGTTAGTGGGATGGCCGGATTAATTAGTGGTTTAAAAGGTGTAAGTCTAAATTTTATTTTATTTTAACGAAATAATTAAATTTGGTATGAAGCGAAAAGAAAATCGTTGAAATTTCCATAAGTATTGATTTATTCATTTTTTTTCTTTAATAACCAATTGTATGTTAACTCTTTTTAGCATGTATATTGTAATCCTTTTGAAAGTTCTTTAAATTTTTTGTCAAAATTTTTTGTTTCCACAAAATATAAATGCCCAAAACTTTCAACTTTTAAATATCCAATCATTTCTATTAATTCCTTTAATTGTTTTATCCCTTATTTAATAAATCTATTTGAATAATTCATTGCTAATATTAAGTCAAATTATAGATAACTATATGATAATTATTGATTCCAAAAAACAAAAATCATTAATTGAAAATGCCAGATAAACTATTAATTAATAATTTTTATTGATCTCTTAATTTACCACAGATTTTTCTTCTTCTTACTTTCGCAAAAAAAAAAGTTTATCAAGCTAATATTTGCTTTATAATGAAACAATTAAAATCTGTAATTTCATATTACTTTATATTTTTATTTTTTTTTCGTAAAAAATTTCCGCAAACTTTTCCAGCGAAATTATTGTCCTTAAAAATTGCGGCATTGTCACTTGCGTATTAAAAATTGCATAACATAATTAATAATATATTGATACATATAAATATGGATAGATATTGTGTCCTTGAGGATTGCCAAATCAGTTAAAGGTATGTATGATCAGATTGTTCCTATGCCTGTTATCGATGACCAAATCTTATCGCAATCGTAAAATGTCACCTATCACAAATGTGACACATTGACATGTCCATCTGTCATTTGGTGGTAACAAAGCGTTGAATTATTCCCATAACAATTAATTGACTGTTTTCTTGTGAAATATTTCTTTTTATTTCATTAAAATATGGTAAAAAAGGAGAATTAAAAAAAAAACAAACAAAGGGAATTTATAAATATGACGTATTAAGTAATTTATCATATGATTAATAATTAATTAACTTTATTATTCGATTTTTTTGCATACATTACAATTTCTTTAAATTTCGAAATTTTGTCTTTGCTTGATAGTTTATATAATTAGCTATTTTATGAGAAATAATTATTTTTTGATGATTCATATGCTTATGGTCTGACAGATTGAACATTTTATCAGTTCGATTTGCGGCTGACTTTTTTTTTATTTATCACTTGAAGCTGGGCTAAACGAACAAATTTAATGAACCAAAAATGATTACTGTTGTTGAGATGTGCGAATGTTTAGTGTTTCTCGGAAGAAGTTTACTTATTCAATGTAAATTTTAAAGGTATTATCCGGAATCGTTCGACCGGAAAATTTCGAAGTTCCCAGCCATCTATGCTACGGATACGATAGCTTTGAAGAAGAAAAGAGGAAGGAAGTGGTAACAGACCTGGAAATTTTACCATGCTATATATGAATTCACCTATTTTTACTTCCTTGTATCCCGATCATTCCCAGGGGACTAATTTTTCTTTTCCCAATAAACTAGAAATTTTGGCCATTTGAAATTATTACCTTTGGAAAAATAGAATGAGAAATTTTTATCTATTATATGAAACAATTAATATTCAAAACAACTTCTTTTATTGCCTTTTTTTATAAAATACTTTAAGAAGGAGAAAATGATAATATTTCAAAGAGCAAAGATTGAAATTGCTAACATTACTAACAACAAATACTTTGGTTATCAGTTAGTGTTTGGGTCTTTATCAGTTAATTTTTTGCATATCGATGAATATGAGTTATTCGCTTATTCAGTGAGAATTTGGAAGTTTTAAGTTTTATCCATATAAATTTAAATTTGCAATATTTATATGAAAAAGTGAAAATTTATCTCATTGGTTTAGGCCATATTTCCAACATTTAACTCTATGAAGACCAAAGCTAAATATTTGATATCTTTAATCAATCTAATCATTGATCAAAATTTTATTTCATACACTATTCAATTAATGCTGAACGATGTTAAGAAATCAAAATTTTTTCAATGTCATCTCATTTATTTTCCGTATAAAATTATACTTTAAAAATAAATAAATGAATTTTTTTTCCAAATTATAGTTTTTTGAAATTGCAAATCAAAAAATTTAATCTTATAGATTGAGAATTAGGACAAATTTAAATTTGTCTTAATGATGAAATACACACTTCTCATATGTTAGTTACATACGGTAAAAAATATGGTCAGATATTTTTTTTTCTTTTCACCATACAGAAGCCGATGTTTTCAATCAACAAATGATTTGTAATCGTTTTGAAGTACCTCTAGTAACAGATAAACCTGAACCTTCCAAGTATCCACTCAATCGAATATGATTCGATGGGTTCATCACAAAATTACTGTATCAGTTGTTGTAAGTATCCATTTGTGTATGTATTTTTCGGATGTACACCTAGACACCCCGTAGTGAATTGTGCAGTTTTCAGTCTTTAATCGGGCAAGAGTAGCGGATAGCTGATTGTATCCGAAGTGATCGGTTAATTGTTGCATCGCATCAGGGGGACAGATACCAGGGAGACGACATTGGCATGCATACATTCGACACATGTTCCTACACAACAGGGGGTACAATCCAAGGTATTCATGATTAAGCCTTCCGTCTTTTTCCTTCCCATGAACCTCTTCATCCTTACTTCCCCAAGTTGGCACCGTCAAAATTACCGTATCAAGAAAAGGAAAGTGATTGAATGTTAAGGGAAAGTGAAAAAAAAAATGGATAGGAAAGGGAAAAAGAAATGGAAAGGAAAGATAAAACAATAAGTGAGAGCAATAGAAGAGATCTACAAATGATTATGTCAGTTTTGTATAGATAAATATCAAAATAGCTATTAAAGGAAACGTTGAAAAATTTTCCTTTTTTTGAAATTTAAAAAATCCTAAAAAAAGAGAAGGAAGAAAAGATTAGTGTTTAAGAGATTCCAAGCAAAAAAACTCATTAAATCACTAATGAAAAGAAAAAAATTATTACTAACTGAAAAATTTCTTTATAATGGTATCAACAATAATTACATTTGAAACTCGTTGATTGAATTTATTCAAAATTGACTTCTGAAATTAATTTAAAATCCCAATTATTATTATGACTATTAAACCAATCATCGTATGAAAATTCAATATATCATTTATGGGTTTCAATCTCATTTCTCATTGGCTAAAATGTAAATTTAATATAGTATACAGTGTATTTGTAATAAAAGTAATATGTATTAAATAAATATATAAAGAATACATGCAAAACTGTTATGAAGTATGATTAATTTATGCATAAATATGATAAGTTTACATAAATACTGTATAATATATCGAAATACTTGTATATATGTGTGTAGATTCAAGCATAATATATGTGTTCGAGAAAAGCTTAATCATATTGCTAATTATCTGTGAAATAATTAATGAATGGAATGAATGCATGAATAAATAAGGAATGAGAAGAAACGAAGATAAAAGCAAAAGAGAAAAATGAAGTGTTAATTGCAAGCCAATTAATTACTTCATCAATCTTATTGGCTTTTTGGCCACAATTCCAAAAAAGAAAGAGCCAATCACTGACGCTAAGTAAACTTTCAATAATTTCAATCTTTTCGAAATCATTTTAACAATAAATAGATTCATTTGTAAAATTAATCAAGTGAAAGCTAATATTTTCTCATGGATATGATGGGAAATTTTTTTTCTGCAAATTCAAATCCAATGTACGATACTTTGACCTTTTTTTTTCGCCTTTTCTCTGATCTTCACCAACATTTGTAAACAAAGATTGGGAAAAAAATTTGCCGATGACCGATGACCACTACACCATTACTACCTCATATGATGGAAATGAAATGAAAGCATGAGAAAGTCCACCGGATTAATCATTGATCTTTCGGGTAAAACTTTTAAGTAATATCTAGTTCACTTCACATTCCCAAGAAAATAGACGAAACAATTAAAATATGAAATGGAAAGTGAGTGGGGGAAAAATTCTTTTTTTTTAGCTCAAAAAATAATTGCTGGAAGAGAAAGAATATGAGGCTATAATGTCATCGAATGAACTGCGCATGTAAAAGATAAAAATGATTTGACAAATTCAAAATATTATTTATGATATTATGGGAAAAAATTTCTATGAAATGTAAATATGAAGTATTGATTTTTTTTCCATTTTTTGTTTTCAGTGTTTGGAATCTTTTTTGGAGACGAGAAAAGGAAAAAGAAATATCGAAAAAAAAGCATTAAAAAAATACTATCTATCATTTTCGTCATTCTATTTTAGCTTACTTATTATTGGTTCATTTATTTTTTTAATTTTTTCATCAGGATAAAATTTGCATGATTTCAAGTTTTTCATTAACATGCTGACTTGTTGATCATTAACAATTTCAACAAATTAATTTAAAAATCTCAAACAAATTCCAAAAGTTTGTTCGATCGCTTGTCTTTGTTTTCGAAAAACATTTATTTAAATTTGACAATTTGTTCTACAATGTGACTTTAGCAATAAATAGTTAATATTTCAATTTAACATTAAGAAAGAATACGAGAAAATTCACACTATCAATAATAGCATCATTACTTAAATATTGATTAATAATTTTCTGATGTTTTCAAATAATATATGTATCAGTATTTAATTCGGGTCTTTTAATTTATATAAAAGTAAAACACAAAAAAGAATTATAATTCGAAAAAAGAAATAATAATTTAAAATTATCAACCGGATTCTGATCTTGTTATACTAGAACATTAACTATTCCGGAATATAAGGATATGTGAATTCCGGTATACATGCGAAACACTTTGTGAAATATGACCGAATTAATTTTCATTTCTTTCTTCTCCCTTTACAGTTTGTTCTCATGATAACTTTTCTTTTATCACTTTCTTCTCCTTTTCTGTGAATTATTTTCGAAAAGTCATAATTCATTATAGATATCGAAATATATCGAAATGTTTTAATTTGTGAAAATGCATGTCTGTGTATATAAAGTACTGGAATTATTGGATATAAAATATGTGGATGGGATGAGGATGAAGGGAGGATGGCGATAGTCCGAGGTTTGCATCCTATTTTAATTCAACATTACTTTATGGGTGACGAGCATGAGGATGGTGACAGGGATGAGGACAGGGATAGGCATGGGGACCTTGACTACTGTAACTCTTTCCTCTCAAAATTCGTCCTTGTAATATATGCATTCATCACAAAATCCTTCCTTCTCTTTTATCTATCCTTTACTTTTCACTTCAACTCATACCATTTTTCCATCAAAATCTTTTGTTGACAAAAAAAAAGTTTCGAATAATTGAAAAAAGTACTTTTTCCTCCCTTCTTCATCCTGCTCTTTCCCGATTTCAGGGCAAAAAATAATTTACCAAAAATTTTCTCGTGAAAAGAGGAGAGAAATAGACAGATAATATAACAAATAGTTTGTATTTTTGTTTTATAGAAATTATTTGTTGATTTAAAAAAGACAGTTTTAATTAGCAATCGATAAATGCGATAACAATAATAATAATTACAGCAGTAGTAGTTGTTGTTGTAACACTCAATAAAATGGCATAATATTTCGCCGACATATTTATGGTAGTAGTTGCTGTTGTTATTGTTGTTGTTGTTATTGTCGTTGTTTTTGTTGCTGCTGTTTTATAACATTAGCATTGAATATCATCATATAATACTTGAACATTTTTATTGTTGTAGTAACAGCAGTTGTAGTAGTTACTGTGTTACTGTAGTCGTAAACTATTAATAATTGTTTGATAAAACTAACAAAAAATAAAATTTTGCTCAAATATCGTTAAATTTGAATTTAAAAACTGTAACAATTCGACTGAAAATGGTAAATGGTAACATTTACAATTGTCACATTCAGAGCTGAAATAATTTAACATTGTTTTACGATATATATATGATGAAAAATTATTCAAATATTATTCTTTCTCGAAGAGATGACAGAGCATTTCAACAATTTACTATTTCTGTTTTCTTTTTCATTTTGGAATTCTATTAATTATTTTCTCTTAAATCGAAATATATTTGGAATTTTAAATGTGCACTATCTTTTTAATTAATTTTTACCTTTTGAATATAAATTTATATTCAGATTATTTCAAATGATTTTTAATTCAATTATTTCGTCCAATGTCTGATTGATTCAAATAATTTAAATTTAATTTTAAATTTAAATTCTTCCTTACCAAAATGAATGAAAACAACAGAACGTTATACAAAATTAATGGCTTTTTACTATCAAAAAAAGAATCGAAAATAATATTACAGAAGCTTCCTCAAATTATCAACGAAACGGTTTCCTTTTTAACAAAATTTAAATAGCCAACAAAAACATACATATATTTACACACACACACACACATACACATACACACACACTCACGCTGACGCATACACTCACACATGCACATATACATACACTCACATACACACACACATACACACACTCACTCCACACACACTCACACATAAATACACGTATTTATATGTACAATATACTTGCACATGTATCGAAAGCGTGTTATCAGACACGTAAATACATTTGAACATACATACACGTATGTAAAAATACATACAGTACAGATATGTATAGATATGGACACGTGTGAAAGATAAACAGTGTCATTGATTATTGACTACCCAATTTTTTGTCACAAAGATTTGATGATGAATGTGAAGGATAGGTAAGCGAGACAGGATAATTACCTGTATCTTCTTAATCCTTTAAGTAAACAGTAAAGTGTGGAATAATTGGCTGTAATTATTCTTTTTTCCTTTCAAATGTGCATCGATGACGATGAATATAATCGTTATTGATGATGCCGAATGGAAAGGATTTTGAAAGTTTCCTTTCCTTTCCAAATTTAAAAAGAAGAAACTTAATTATAATCAATAAAGGTTATGGTAGAAAGAGAGAGGGAGAGGGAAAGAGAAAAAGAGAGAGGAAGTGCAAATGGAAAAGGAAGAAAAAGAAAAAATGTGATAAAAGATTTAAACGAAAAAAAAATCATTTGGTATTAATTTTAGTTCTAAAAAGTAATTGAGAGAAGAGTTTGAGACTCACTACCATCACTAACCATCATTATTGTCACCAAGTTTATAGGTCAACGGTCCATCAAAAAGGAGTGACAAACAATACAGGTGCGTGCTGCTATTATTTACTACTAATTCCACTACCACTGTTAGTTACATTTTATTTTCCATAGATGAGGGACCAAATTTGTTCTGCTTTTTCTTCTTCTAGTATTCATATTAATAGTTGGATTGAAATTTGAAATGACTAGTAATTAATAAAAGAAGTTTGATCGATTTTAGATGTAATGAATAAGTTTTATATGCAATTGATAAGTGTGGATAGAAGTAACTGATGACAGATCAATATATTAAGGTATATTAAATTACCATAAAATCATACTATGTGGTAAGTTGATATTAAGTATCATATCAGTGATAGAAAAGTAATAATAAGAGTGAATTTTTGAATAAAGATCATTTAATCAAGAAATCATTAACTCACCAGTTACAATTTCTTAGAAAATCGGTCAAAATTGTCCTGAAATGTCATCACTTTTAACTTTTTCTTTAAGCTTACAGTATGTCTTTCAGTTATTTTTTCTTTTCATAAAAAATTATATTATTAAATTATTACTGATAGTTTTTAAAAATATCTTATAGAAAGATTTGTTAATTCAGATAAGTTTCATTTATGAAAGTATTTATTCAAAATTTTTCATCAATTTTTCGCATTTTCCAGTGGTCCTTACAAATTTCAGTAATCTTATTAATAATAATAATTATTATTATTGTCACCATTATTATGATTACGATTGTTAATGATATTATTATGATTATTATTACTTTTACTGTTATCAGGTTGTTATCATTGCTGTTGTCAATTGTTATCACTAGTAATTATTATGATTATGTTTGCTATTATAATGATTATCGTTATTAACCATTATCAATATTAATTGTTGTGATTACGATTACTACTATTACTATTGTTATTAATTATCATTATTGTTATTGTTATGACATCTTCAGATATTCGAAAACTCTTCTTACAGCTGACATCAGCAGAAATAATAAAAATTTCAATTTTTGTTTATTTTTAATTATCAATTACTTCTATCGGTCATCTTCTTCCTTCCCAAAACCATACTGATGCACATATATGTATAATATATAATATAATATTAGGAAAGGATAGATGAGATAGTTCTATTCCCTTTAATTATCACTCACGATATTGTCTGGAGTTAATTGTCCAAATCAATATTTATATACTGCGGTTTGCTGGACTAGAAATTGGATATGACTGGATGATTATTAGATGTGAGATGATTTTACATAACATGACGATAATGATGATGACATTAATAACTGTAATAATTATGATACCAATGATGTTGATGTTAGTGACAATGATAACGATAGTATTTGTAATGCTACTCATCTATAATATAGGCAGATCAAATGTATGTTTTATTGCCAATTTCATTTTCCGTTAACGATCTTTTTCGATTATTTTATATGTTTGAAAATCTTTCCCTATTATTGCTATCATTGTCATCACGCTTATTGTATGTGTCAATTGTCCACCTGCGTAATGAACTTTATCAATCCCAAATGCATTTTATGTTTTATTTTAAAAAGATAATAAAATGTATCGAAAAAAACTTACTGTATTCACGATCATCCATATATAATAAAGTAGTAAATAGTAGATTGCAAAAAAAAGAGTAAATTTTAAATTTAAAAAAAAAAGAAATTACGAATTTAAATTGTTACATCTTCTCAAAATTAATATTTAATAACAATAATAAAATGCAATTAATGAAATCATCGTAAATGAATTTATAAGTGAATTTAAAAAAAATTTATTTTATAGTAAAATTATCTTCTATAATTTATCTTATAGTAACAGTCCCTTTTTGAAGATATGCAGAATGATGCTATATTTGTACTGTTTTTTTATTTTTTTCTACATCTAACATATTATTAATATCGGAAAAATGAATAGCAATGATCCATTCCGGATATTTTATCTGTAGATTATCAGTAAAAATAATTGGAAATAACAGAGAATTGATAGTTGATAAAAGTTTAATAAAAAGTAAATATTATCATACATACTAGATAATTAACATTCAAATAAATATTCTAAAACAATACTAATCATTGCCATAATACTTCGAAATGCTCTTTTTTTTAAAATCTTTTTCACAACCAAATAACCATAAAATATATATGTATTGATAAGGTACAAACATTTTTAGGTTAATCCTGGAATATGAAAAGATCAAAGATTAGTTGTCTGGTGGAACATAAAGATACAATCAATTTCCAGCATAAAAATTTGAAATGGAAATGAAATTTTTGATGTTACCATTAAAAATGAAAGGAATAAATGAAATTTTTCGTAAGTTTCATATTAATTTTACAATTATCAACTAAATGTATAAAAAAAACAGCGGAAATTATCACAGACATCACTTCAATGTAACTATGATTACAAACTTTGTCATATCGCTGTTGAAATTAACGTTTAAAGACAAAAAGTATCTTCCCATCTTAATTAATTCTAATTACCTAAATTTCCTTGCAGTAATTAATTATTAGTCCAAAGAATAAAAAAAAGACATGGAAATATATTCTATTCATATGCATATTATTATATTTGCGTGCAGCTTTTTATATATGAAATATTGCCCGGCATGCATTTTAAGTGAAAACAATGGATGCATTACAATTTATAGGTATGTGCATTCACTTATGTGCAATTAATTAAAAGTTATTTAATGATTTCAATTTTATGCCATGAAAGTGACAATGAATTATAAATAATATCAAAAATTTTACGATTTAAAATCAAAAATAAGAAAAAGAAACCTTTTTTTCAATGTCAAATTTTCCTCAATGTCACTGTTTTAGGAAAAATTATTAGAAAAAGAAAATATGAAAAAGCATAAATGAGGGAAAAAATTTTTTGATTATAATAAAATAAATTAAAATGATTAGGTAAAAAAGTGATAAGCAATGATATCACAATGCTCCATCGCTTATCACTTCATTTTCTATCTTACATTAATTACAATTAACGAAAAAGGCACAATAATAGCAAATGTTTTGCATTGTAAAATCATCCATTTAAAATTTCTATCATTTTCCTTTTTTTTTTTAAATCACTATTCCTAATTAAAATACCTTCTTATAAATCCCCAGAAGATTGAAGAATTCTTACTTAAAAAAAAAAAAAACAAAAGTCGAGTTTTATAATTGTTGTGATATCAAATATGACAGGTGAGCAACA